ATTAAGGAGATCTGTGGAACTGAAAAAATATTTTAGAATAATAAAAAAAAAATCTCGCTAAATCTCGTGAGACGTTTAAGCGAAACGCAGCAATGACGTTTATCTCCAATTGGTGTACACACAGGCACGAGCTCCCTACGTCAGTTTACACTGTGCCCATGTTTAAGTATTGACATCGACATACTGTGGGCAATATATAAGTCTATATGTCGATTTTGTAGTTTCCTGGGAGCGTGGGTTTGCTGTTAAATATACAAGGTCTGATATAAAATATCGGAGATATTTCTATGGTAACAGAACGGAAGTAGGTGGAGTGAAGCCGCATGGCAGATAATGACCTTGAACTCTGTTGCGCATACGCACTAACTCTCATAGTTTATAGCAATGCTTGGAAAGAAATTGCTTAGAGTGGTCGTCTCATCGCACCACAGAAAACCTTTTAGAAGTAGTCATAACGAGTAACAAATAGTGGGTTTATGGCCATGACCCCGCAATCAAGGCTCAACCTTCGCAGTCTTAGGCAAATAATAATAATAAAAAAAGATTATGAGTTGATTTATAGCTTCAAATTTGTTTTCACGTTAAAAGTAACACTGCCAATAAATTCGCTGTTGGCATCCAAATACGTGCAATGGCTCTTCCGGATGCCTCATTTGTCAGAGAGTTGTGACTTCAGTACCCGACTACTGCAGTGGTAAACAAAAACTTGGAAAGTTTGAGTTAAAAAGAGATAACTGAGACATCCGGAAGAGGCATACACGTGGAACTAGAACAATCTACCCCGGTCGACCTAATAAAGGGTTCAGTTCTAAATTGCAATCGCCTGAAGAAGGCCGTGCGTACAATAGCCGAAACGTCGTGAATATGACAACAAAGATGAGGACAGCAGTCAGAACAATGTAAATAATGTAAAATATAATCGTTTAAATGCCTTTTTAAAGAAAATAAAATTTTAAATACGGAGAACAGACGACTGCTGCATAGCCTCGTTTTAATATTAAATAAAAAATTAATAAAGCGCCCATGTATCTGTTGAACCGTATAAAAACTCGTAGTGAAATACATGGATATTTTAATAGAAATAGATGCCAAATGGGTCCCCCTTTTGCTAAGACTAAATTAAGGCATATGTTTTTTTTTGTTTTTTGTTTTTTTTTGATATGTGAAAAATTCAATGAAATTTTGAAAGCGATATATATGAAAATTATTTCTTTGTACTCATTGAAAAATATAATAGAAAATATTTATTGAATTCCTAGTAGATTTGTTTTGCTCTTATAAACAATTATTAAAGTATTTTCTTGTCTGGTTGGTGTTAGTTCCTCATTGGCTTCTACCAACACCCTGTATATGTATTTCAATTTTTTTGTGGGGTGGGTGGGCACAAGTACCACTGTTGTTTTATTGAGTTGTTGTTGATATGTTTTAATGTTCTTTTTTATTTATTTTTTTTAATTTTGCTTCTTTCTTACTTCATCTTATTGTCATGAAAAAAAATAAATTGACGAGTTGGGTGGTGTTTTTTTTTTTTAAATTTGATATTAAATAAAGATCTATTATCAAATAAGAACTTCATTGATTGGAAGTGGCTTAGCATGGACGTTGGTTATACTGTTTTACCCGCGATAGTTTCACAGCATGGCATAATCAAATGTACAGCTATTCATTCTTCATTCGGTTATCCCCGCCATATTGTTTGTTTACTATCGAGCGGTCATAGAATGTAACAACTCGGGGCGTCCTGACACGCGGCAAAAGTCAAAATGAAAGGGAGGTTAGTGAAAGATTAATATTGTTACGTAATTTTTGCAAGTGTTCTGTGATCTGTGCTGTTCTGTTTCCGTTTCTTAGGAGTTGGCAAACTGAACGTTCTCATCTGGGACGCGAAAGGAGGTAAAACCATTTGGTCTAAATCTAAAAATCATTGGTACAATTGGTCAAGTGCGAGCGTTACACTCATTTCCCAAGAACCATTTTCGGTGGTTTTCGAAGGTATAATTGGGCCGAAATACACTACGGCCGTTGCTATTGACGACATTACGCTCTTGGATGGTTCCTGTGAGACGCTAACGACACCATCGATGGGTATTATTACACAGCCACCAACACCTGGTAAGGAAGATCCTTTTATTAATGATTATGTGTTAAGATTTTTGAAGAGAAAACTTTAAATTGTTTTAATTTGTTATTACAGTCATACAATTAAAAATAGTAAATTATACATTAAAGAAAAACAATCAAACATTTTTTTGTCCTGAAAGACTATAAAAAAATTCATTATTTTTTAAAAATCATTTCACCCCAAACAAAGAAATAAAGCCACTAAAACACAGGGATTACTGGATGTTAGATGTGAAAAAAGAAAAATATTTTTATGGAGAAAACATCCTTAGGAGATAGATATATTCATTTTCCTTTTAAGTCACTTTAATGACCAGAGTTTCTCAGGATACCCGTCTCCAGCCCGTCTTTGAATTGGTAAGCATAAAATTTTGTTAGTAATTTTGGATAATCATAAAAGTAGAATCCTTTGAAAAACTGACCACTCAAACCTGAAAATGTGGTGTCTTTTTTTACTAGATCATAAATAGACAAATAGGTGTAGTGGGGTCCCAGCCGGTATTCATATAATGAGGTAATCAGTAACTGGCAGTCAGTGAGGAGGAAAGGACCAATAGTAACTGAGTCACTGAGACAAACAGGCACCGAGTGTAAAGGTCTAATTTCCGTGGCGAAAGTTAGAGAGCAGCAGTTGATCTTCTCGAAGCTGAAGGAAGACATTGCCGATTAAGTGAGAAATCGCACTGTTTGCTATTACCCAATCAGTGTCTTGAAAAGCATTTGTCGTTATTCTTCGTTGAATTCGATCACAGCCAATGAGACAAACTTATGAAGATAGCGAGCTGGTGTATACGCATATGCAGATGAGCTTGGATATCGTCACAGCTTGTGCAGTGACGTGGAGAGGCCATTGTTAGACAACAATTAAGACGAGAGAAGTTAACGATTGATGTTGAGATGTTGAGTGTTTCCCCGTGCGTGTATTGAAATAAGGACAAACACATACGTAGGGAAAATACTGGTATATCTGAAGAGGTATTTACAACAGAGAGATTAGTAGTCAAACGAACGCAGGTTAGTCAGTAACAATCAGAAAAGGTATAAAGTCCAACTGTATCTTCCGGTAGAGAGACGGATGTGTGATGGTCACCTGATCACCCCAGAACTCTATAGAACTGTCCTATTAGTAGTAGAGAGATCAGTCCATTCTGATGAGAAGGTGGGTGCGCCCCAAAAATTGACATTATATTTAAATTTTTAAAGATCAAAGTTCACTGGGAAGCTAGAAGCCACAAGCGGAAAGTGCGATAGAGACGTGTTAGCCATTTCAACTGTAAAATGGTGAGACCTTGCAGGGAATCTAGTACAGCGCTTAAATTATTCGTGATGGAAATGAAAATCGTAATAAAATAGTTATAATAAATGACGAGTCAAGGGTGACAATAGACGAAAATTTCTTTTAAATATTCCTAGTGTACCATTATGTAAGACAGATTAGGAAAAATATGGGTAAGAAGATTATATTGGGCTAAACTTTAAGTTGGGGAAGGACTGATGGTCACGCAACTTCGAAAACGTTTTATAATTTATAAATTATAAAAAAGGAAACAAACTTCGGATTTAAAAAAAAGAATTAGTACCAGATTGGTGGCTGTTATAGTAGAACATACCTATTCTATAGTTAATAGACTCTCCCACCTATAATAAGTAGGAGTAATAATAGTAACGACGGGTCGCTGAGTGAGTCGCTCAGGTCAGTCGATGCCGGACGACCGTTGGTCGGATACTAAAGTATCAGCGACCACAACTAGATTTTCTATGCGTTATACCTATTATATCAAGTTCCTAACGTTTTGTACGTCGAACCTATTTTAGGACCGACTTAGTACAAATACAAGCCTCCACTGGGAAATCAACTCCATAACAGTGGCAAAGTTACATAATTTTACAGCTGAAAATGTCTTGATGTAGCCGTAAGTTCTATGTTAACAGTTTCTTCTATTGCACTTCTCCTTTACGGTAATATCTTCCGGCTTCTTGCTTCCAAGTACTAGGCAACAGAAATAAAAAAAGGTGCTAAAAAACTATGTAATATCAATCCTATTTCATGACAGTGAATGATGGACAATCTACTCACAGATGGAGAAGAGACTTGAGGCAGCAGAATGTGGTTCTGTAGGAGAATGCTGAGGATGCTATAAACTGAAACTGGGAGCAATGACGAAGTCTTAGAGAAAATAGAAACAAAAATCACATTATTCTGAGAAAGGGAAGATGGAAATGTGACACCGAAATCCGAAGTTGCATTTGAATAGCCAAATATGCATTCTACAAAATAAGCACAATACTGAGAAACAGGAAAATTTCGTTGCAAACAAAGAAAAGAGTGCTGAACTGCGATGTAATCTCAATCCTCTTACAAGGCAGCGAATGTCGGACATTTTTCTCACAGATCAAGAGGAGACTTACAAGCGACAGAGATGTGCTTCAACAGAATGACTCGAAGAATACCATAGACGGGACATGTGAGTAACGATGAAGTTTTAAGTTAAATGGAGACAAAAAGGACGCTTGTTCTTAGAATCCGAAACAGTTAAAATTTCTGGGGATAATAATGAGGGAAGAGGACTAGGAGAATTTGACACTCACAGGACGCATTGAAATCAAGAAGGGCAGAGGAAGACATGCAATATCATACTTAACGGGTCTATGTAAATGGATGGCAGAACAGGAAGATATAATAAGGAGATAAATATTGCTTAGACCTATAAAGGATAGGAAATTGTGAAGAGCCGTGATCGTCCACTTCCTAAAGGGATATGGCATATTGAGTACGAAGAATGTTATACAAATTATTTGAAGTAATGTTCTTTTTTAACATGAAGTTTTGTTCAGCATGAAATCGGATTTTATTCCAAATATTAAATGTTGTTTCTTGCATGAATAAAATATACAATTTCTTTTTCATTCTGTCTTCCATTCTTTCATTCTGTCTTCCATTCTTTCATTCTGTCTTTCATTCTCTTTCATTCTTTCATTCTGTCTTTCATTCTGTCTTTCATTCTGTCTTTCGTTCTGTCTTCCATTCTTTCATTCTGTCTTCCATTCTGTCTTTCATTCTTTCATTCTGTCTTTCATTCTTTCATTCTGTCTTTCATTCTGTCTTCCAGTCTTTCATTCTGTCTTTCTGTCTTTCATTCTTTCATTCTGTCTTTCATTCCGTCTTTCATTCTGTCTTTCATTCTGTCTTCCATTCTTTCATTCTGTCTTTCATTCTGTCTTTCATTCTTTCATTCTGTCTTCCATTCTTTCATTCTGTCTTCCATTCTTTCATTCTGTCTTTCATTCTTTCATTCTGTCTTCCATTCTTTCATTCTGTCTTCCATTCTTTCATTCTGTCTTTCATTCTGTCTTTCATTCTGTCTTTCATTCTGTCTTTCATTCTGTTTTCCATTCTTTCATTCTGTCTTTCATTCTGTCTTTCATTCTGTCTTCCATTCTTTCATTCTGTCTTTCATTCTGTTTTTCATTCTTTCATTCTGTTTTTCATTCTTTCATTCTGTTTTTCATTCTTTCATTCTGTTTTTCATTCTATCATTCTGTCTTTCATTTTCATTCTGTCTTTCTGTCTTTCATTCTTTCATTCTTTCATTCTTTTCATTCTTTCATTCTGTCTTTCATTCTGTCTTTCATTCTGTCTTTCATTCTCTTTCATTCTTTCATTCTGTCTTTCATTCTGTCTTTCATTCTTTCATTCTTTCATTCTGTCTTCCATTCTTTCATTCTGTCTTCCATTCTTTCATTCTGTCTTTCATTCTTTCATTCTGTCTTTCATTCTGTCTTTCATTCTGTCTTCCATTCTTTCTTTCATTCTTTCATTCTGTCTTCCATTCTTTCATTCTGTCTTTCATTCTGTCTTTCATTCTGTCTTTCATTCTGTCTTTCATTCTGTCTTTCATTCTGTCTTTCATTCTGTCTTTCATTCTGTCTTTCATTCTGTCTTTCATTCTGTCTTTCATTCTTCCATTCTGTCTTTCATTCTTCCATTCTGTCTTCCATTCTTCCATTCTGTCTTCCATTCTTTCATTCTGTCTTCCATTCTGTCTTTTATTCTTTCATTCTGTCTTTTATTCTTTCATTCTGTCTTCCAGTCTTTCATTCTGTCTTCCAGTCTTTCATTCTGTCTTTCATTCTGTCTTTCTGTCTTTCATTCTTTCATTCTGTCTTTCATTCTTTCATTCTGTCTTTCATTCTTTCATTCTGTCTTTCATTCTTTCATTCTGTCTTTCATTCTGTCTTCCATTCTTTCATTCTGTCTTCCATTCTTTCATTCTTTCATTCTGTCTTTCATTCTGTCTTCCATTCTGTCTTTTATTCTTTCATTCTGTCTTTCATTCTGTCTTTCATTCTGTCTTTCTGTCTTTCATTCTTTCATTCTGTCTTCCAGTCTTTCATTCTTTCATTCTGTCTTTCATTCGTTCATTCTGTCTTTCATTCTGTCTTCCAGTCTTTCATTCTGTCTTTCATTCTGTCTTCCAGTCTTTCATTCTGTCTTTCATTCTGTCTTTCATTCTGTCTTTCATTCCGTCTTTCATTCTGTCTTCCATTCTTTCATTCTGTCTTCCATTCTGTCTTCCATTCTGTCTTTCATTCTGTCTTTCATTCTTTCATTCTGTCTTTCATTCTGTCTTTCATTCTGTCTTCCATTCTTTCATTCTGTCTTTCATTCTGTCTTTCATTCTGTCTTTCATTCTTTCATTCTGTCTTCCATTCTTTCATTCTGTCTTCCATTCTTTCATTCTGTCTTTCATTCTTTCATTCTGTCTTTCATTCTGTCTTCCAGTCTTTTATTCTGTCTTCCAGTCTTTCATTCTGTCTTCCAGTCTTTCATTCTGTCTTTCTGTCTTCCATTCTTTCATTCTGTCTTCCATTCTGTCTTTTATTCTTTCATTCTGTCTTTCATTCTCTTTCATTCTTTCATTCTGTCTTTCTGTCTTTCATTCTTTCATTCTGTCTTCCATTCTTTCATTCTGTCTTTCATTCTTTCATTCTGTCTTTCATTCTTTCATTCTTTCATTCTGTCTTTCATTCTGTCTTTCATTCTTTCATTCTGTCTTTCATTCTGTCTTCCATTCTGTCGTTTATTCTTTCATTCTGTCTTCCAGTCTTCCATTCTTTCATTCTGTCTTTCATTCTGTCTTCCAGTCTTTTATTCTCTCTTTCATTCTGTCTTTCTGTCTTTCATTCTTTCATTCCGTCTTTCATTCTGTCTTCCAGTCTTCCATTCTTTCATTCTGTCTTTCATTCTGTCTTTCATTCTGTTTTTCATTCTTTCATTCTTTCTTTCATTCTTCCATTCTTTCATTCTGTCTTTCATTCTGTCTTTCTGTCTTTCTGTCTTTCATTCTTTCATTCTGTCTTTCTGTCTTTCTGTCTTCCATTCTTTCATTCTTTCATTCTGTCTTTCATTCTGTCTTTCAGTCTTTCATTCTGTCTTCTATTCTTTTATTTCGTTGTCTCTTCCATTTTTTCATTCTGTCTTCCATTCTGTCAAATGGTCATTCACTCTCTCATTCTTTCTGTCATTCTGTCTTCCATTGTCTTTCATTCTTTCATTCTGTCTTTCATTTTGTCTTTCATTCTATTTCTTTTTTTCTCTCACTGAAACCAAAGACATTTCGACCAAATCAGGTTGAAACACCGATTCCTATATGATCACCGAAATTAAGTAACGTCGAGCCCAATCAGCACCTAGATCGCTTAGGAATACCAGGTGCTGTAAACTTGGATGTGCGGGTGGTTTAATGGTTCAGGATTGTTAACCCGAGAGCCAAGATCCTAATTGCGTTGGGTTCGTTATATGCACTTCCGTGTAAATACCCTTGGAAAACATATGAATCCACGTCTCCTAAGGGTTAATTAGTATAACTTGTATCGCTAAATCATTATCTCAAAAAAAAAAAAAAGAATTCTTATAATCTAAAGCTATATTCTGCCTTTAAATAATCTGCAAAGGGTTGATAAGACATAAAAATGAACCAACCAAGCAACCAAAAATTACTGAAACCAAACAGCGTCACTTTTATACCTTTTCCGTCCTTCCTCCCGATCAAAACGGAATAATCCATTATTAATTTAATATCGTTGGGGTGTAAAGTACATGCTAAAAAGCAGAATTATAACGAGTTATTTTCCTTTTTATATTTTAGCTTCGATGTTTCTGTGTCACTTTGAGAAGAGTCTTTGTGGTTGGAAACAAGACACAACGGAAAATGCTGATTGGATAGTGACAACTGGGCAATCTCATCAAGGAGGTCCACCAATGGACCACACGAGCGATAATTATAACGGTAAGTAAGAAGCCTTTTTATAGATTACGACACGCAGAACTATTTGAAATGCTAGGTATGCTTGATTTATTTGAGAAAGATTTTAGAATAATCCAGAACGTCTACTGGGAGCAAATCACCTTCATACTGATAGAAAATGAATTCAGTAAATACGCAAAAATAGAAAAGGGTTCTAAAACAAGGACGTGTCCTTTCATCGGACTTATTTAATGTGTGGCGATCCTGAGTGTCTTAACGGGATTTATAATTGGAGGCCACTCTCTTAACATAAAATATGCAAATGACATAGTATTGATAAGAGACTCGGAAGGAAACTACATGATCTTCTACAGAATGCAATAAAGGAATATGAGTAGAAGGAACAAATATCAACTTGAGAAGACGGAAAGTATGTCTTGTAATGGAACGTCCCACTCTTCCTATTTTGGACGGACTGTATCAGTAAATATATATAGTGTGCACAGGATATACCTAAGACTTGCTTCGGCAATTAGTTGGAGATTCATCTCCAGCTGACTTGGTCGAACTCTCTGCCGTCTGGGGTGGTAGACAGCTACCCGACCCCGTTTTTACGGAGTATACGGGGAATTTTTGCCCGAGCCGACGTTAAATTCGGCCTTGTGTCACATCTGAGCGCGTGTGGCGGTTGGCAAATATCCTTTCTTCGGTAAATAGTTGGAGGTTTGTCAAGTACTGCGCTTAAATTGATAACGTCAAGGTACCATACAAGAAAGCTCGTCCGAACAATTACCATGAAAGTTATAGAAAAGGCACAGGAGAGCTATGTTACGGCGGTGGGAAAATGACTGAAACGGAGATGCCAGATCGGGACCAGCAATATTGCAGATTCTTGTGGTCGGTGATGCTGAAATGATAGGAACTTTGTTTTAGAAGTATTGAATATTACAAGCTAGTTTTTCTTCCCCAGTTGAGCTGTTTTAGCTTGGTCCGAGGAGATATTCAAGAATTGTCACCTTCTGACAATCACTTGGTTCGATCCCTGGAAACACACTTTGTTTAGTCAGTAGTTCTAACGAGTTGAAAATTTTAACGTGTCAAAACCGGAATCTTTCATTTGTGAAGAAATCCTTAATTTACAGGAAATTTGACCCGAGGTCATGGAAAATGAGTGAATGATGACTGAATAATGTTATAAATGATTATATAAATAAAAGTTTTTGCCAAAGAAAAACTACATCCTAACTAATAGGGAATAATACATGTTTTCACTGAATAATGATACATACTTTTTTAGAAAGGGAAGGAAAATAATCTGATGACTGAATAATAACGCTATGAATTTATGAGTAAAAGATTTCGTTCAAGCAATGCTCGACACTTTTTACAATAATCTTATATAGGAAGAGATTATCTATTATATTAACATTCATGCATTTTTAGGGGGTTACATTATCATGAAATCGTCAACAGTGGTTGCCAACCAAACTGCGCGTCTCATGAGTGACGTTATTTATCAAGAACAACCCGTCTGTATTACGTTCTGGTATTACATGCATGGAGAAAATCCCGGTACCTTAAATGTCTACGTAAAGAACATGGGTGAAAAGAAAGATGCTGTATGGACGAAATTTGGCGACCAGGGCTTGGCTTGGAGATACGCGGAAATCGAGATCGCCAAACCTGAGAAAAGAAATAAGGTAGGTCTTTTTTTTTTTTTTTTTTTAAGTTTTGACAATATAAGAATGGTTGCAACATAACAGTACGTTATGTTTATAAAATATGGCGTTTGGATTCAAGGGAGATTCAAGAAATGGTCAAGCAATAACTGAGCGATACGAAAACAATAAGAAGTAGATGAGATATAGCTAGACATGGGCTGTGGAATGAGAACAGTCTTGCGCCGTAGATTAAATAAAGGGTTCAATTCAGAATTCCCTGTAGGAAGGCCTGAGAGCACAACGGTTCAAACGTTGTGATAAAAACAAGAAAGATAAGAACAGTAATCTAAATAGTCTAAATATTCAAAACACCCGCATAAAGCAAAGATTTTTTAAAATTCAACTTTGACCTAACAAAAGGCAAATTAGCCTACAAGGTAGAGTAGTAGCTGTATATTCAACATGCAAATTTGAATTTTATTAATCAAATGGGACAGAGTTTATAACTAATTGTAAAACTTTAATCTGGCATAAAACAAAATAGTGGCGTTTGGGAAAGAAAACTGAGATGTGCCAAGTGGAAAAAAACTCAAAATCCAGTAATTTTGCGAGTTGTTAAATGTACCTGACACGGTATAATTATATGTAATACCCACGCTGTAAATTTTGATGAAATCACGTGAAGTTAAATAAGTATAATATCAAAAATAGCACTGATTCGCAGAAATTTCTTTTTCTATTTATGTGTAATGAAGTAAAATTGTACATTACAAATGAAAATACAATACTTAAATCTCTAACATTACATTTTATTCAACATCGGATTTTATTAATTATTATGAAACAGTGTGTGCGCCCGCACACTGGACCTTCCTCCGAAACGTGGACCTTATATTCTTGTCTGTGATGTTTGAGGGATTTTTTCTTGTATAACGAATTTTTCACACGTTTGTAAACGACAAAGAACCTGGACTCCTCGGCCAGTAGGACCTCTGTCTAGTCAGCCCTGTATCTGACTTTTCTGAAGAATATTGATTGAAAAATCTATTATAACATAATCTAGGACAGGGTTTCTCAACTATTTTTGTTTATCAAAGAATGTTTCAGTTTATTCTTAGCAGCAGAGATTAGTTCCGTGTTCACAGAGATAACAGCATACTTGAAAGGCAATAAAACGTACAGAAATCACAGGAAAGCATAGCAAATTGTATGTAATGAGAGGAAGAAGTTATTTCGTATTATTACACGCCCTGTCACAGAGAGAAGTTACACATATGTTGCCTGCCTGAGTGTTCTTAGCGAAGAGGTAAGATTTTATGTCTTTAGGCGGGATGTCCGTATTTCCGGCAGGAACAGTTTTTGTTGCATGCTGGGAGTATTTTTTATTATTTTTAATTTTTATTTAATTTATACAACGTTTAAATATTATTGTTTTATTTTATTTAGAATTTGAATTATTATATTTTATTTTTATTTATAATAATAATAATATAATGTCCCTAGAGTGAAAAGGGTGTATTGAGCAGAAAAGGAGGATAACCACTGATCCAGGGTGAGAGATATTCTACAGATGCATTCAATAATGCAATTTTGATATCATCGTATGTGTGCCTTGATATTTGTCTCCGTCTCTCAGTATATACAACTTTGCATGTATAGATCCGATGAAAGTAGATATTGTATAGATATTTGTGATCTAGCTCTTTCGACCATAATTATAGCCGTTATCAAAATCAGGAAAAAATCTGGATATTATTATAGTCTCAGTAGATTGCATGTAACTATCTGCTGTTAAATTAATTTGAAATCCCAGTTCAAAAACTTATCTCAAATTTGGATATTTTTAAGTTATGAAAAGGATTTCAATCTTAAATGTTTTTTACATCTTACAATTAATATTTTATAGTATCAGCATGTTGTTTGCGAGTATTCGGTGTTTATTAGTGTAAAGAAAGTGTTTATGACTATGATAATTAATATAAGTACAAATTAACCTACAGGATAGAGTGACAGTTGTATATTCAATATTCAGATTTGAATTTTCTGAACTACATTAGTTTATAACTAATTACAAAACTTAGTTTAGTCTGACATAAAGGTGAAATCTGGAAAAGTACATTGAGGTGTGACAAGTGAAAAAGGTACGATGCTTTTTTAAATTTTACTATTATAGTTTTAGAATGTTGTTTGAGAGTATTCGGTGTTTATTAGAGTAAAGGAAGTGTCTATGGCTCTGTTAATTAATATAAGTACAAATTGAACTTTGATCAAACAAAAGGCAAATTAACCTACAGGATAGAGTCACGGTTGTATATTCAATATTCAGATTTTAATTTTCTGAACCACATTAGTTTATAACTAATTACAAAACTTAGTTTAGTCTGACATAAAAGATGAAATCTAGAAAAGTACATTGAGGTGTGACAAGTGAAAAAGTTACGATGCTTGCTATAAAAAAATAAAATCAAAATCCAGGCATTTTGCGAGTGTCAGAAACCCGGTATTACTTCATGCACAACACATATTATTATAGTGTATATTAATGTACGTATTTATGGTCTTGTACTGCAGCAGCCTGCGAAATGATCTCGCAAGCTTTTGTCTGTGTGTTCGGACAGCGGTAAGTGATTCGTCCCGCACCACGCTAGCTAGATGTGACACGTGATCGGTTTAATGTGGGTCGCTTGTGCACGTACGCCCAGGCAGGTTCAAAAATAGCCCGACCCC